GACACGGCAATTCTATCACAAAATGCATCTCACGGCTCAGTCATACAACAACTACAAAACCACATCCACACACTGGAGTCCTGGCTAATCGGCATGGAAAATCAGCATTAATGTGGATAAATCGGATGCCATCCTTTTCACGAGGAAAAAGAATATTGATTATGATATCCACATCAAAATGTATGACACGCCTATCCCCTGGACCAAGCAGGCCCAATACTTAGGTGTTACATTGGATCAAACTCTCACATGGACCCCCACACATTACAAAGCTCATTGCAAAGTTCCGGGTTCGTAAAGCTACACTTGCCCTTAATTGACCGGAATAGCGTTCTCTCTACTGATAATAAATTACTCATTTATAAAGCTATGTTACGTTCCATCATCACTTATGCCTGCCCTGTCTGGGGGTATACTTTTGATTCTCATGTTAAAAAACTGCAAGTCTTGCAGAATGTTGTATTAAGACAAGCGGCGGGTTGTCCGTGGTTCATAAGAAACTCGGCAATCCACCGTGAATATAATATACCGTATCTTAAGGAATATATGGCCACTCTGGCCCTCAGGTTCTATAAAAATATTCCCAAGGTATCCAATCCAACCATACCACTACTTGACTATGACTATAATACCCAGGGCTTCAAAAAAAGGCCACGGGCTGTTCTCAGACACCTCAAATACTTATTGATATGAAATTTTTTGATATGTAATTCTTTGTTATGTAATTGTTTTATATGTAACTGCACCAATCGTCTCACACCCTTGTCTCACATGTATAATATATTATATTTCATTTCCGCACTGATGTACTCAATTACTTATTATTGCTTTTATTTTTGTGTTGTCTCCTGTTAACATATGTGTATCAATATCTATAAGTGTTACACTGGACTGTTGGACTCTGTTGCGATTTTGACATTTCTTTTTTACTCCGCAATTACCCTCGCCCGATGAGGCGTGTTAGCTACTGCGGTATCCCAGTCTCTAAGGGTCCCATGGATTTTCCATCTCCATGAAATTCTCTTCAACATCCAGCATTTGATCGACCTAGCACCAGCTTAGGAACTGAATGTAATCGAAAATCCTAGGGTAGCGCACCACGCGCGGGCACCTGATTGCAAAGTACACACGTACAAATGCTTGATCCGAAGATCGCATGGAGGTAGGAAATAAGTCCTTTCTTACCTCCATGGAAGATCGTTTAGAACTTTCACCATGTATAACATATATCTGAACCAGTTCCTTTAGAATGTCTCTTATGAAGGCATTCATTTGTTTAGGTAAACGGTCCTAGTGGGCTTTACCGTAATCAAATAATGTAACCAACCTTCTCTCAGGAAGAGGTAACTTATTTGACTTAACAATAAGAAAGTTCTTCTATAGTATTAAGAAACCTGGGCATTTTAAAGCATCCATTGAAATGATATGTATTAAGTATCTTGATGAGGATATTTATGTTATCAATATATCCAAATAATAACAGTTAATTAATAAATGTAAATGAAATCATTGAATAATCTCCAAATAACAGCAATTAATTAATAAATGTAAATAAAATAATTTGCTATTGACTTTTAATTGTTTTTATGATTTTAATGAATTTCTGTTTAATGATTAAAATTTATTTAATATTTGTTAAATGAAAGGTGACTTTTTTTAAAGTATCTTTAAGTACCTCTCAATTTACATTATGATAAATATTTTTTTACAGGCCACTTAAAGCAGTGTCTTCAGTCATGTTTTCAAACAATGGGTCTGTTCTAAATTGTCAGCTTGTGATAAATTCTCTAATAAATAATGGTTGCAATGTTACTCTGCAGTGGATTCCAAGTCACTATGGAATTAACTTTAATGAGTTTGCTGATACTCTGGTCAAGGCTGAATCTGTCCTTAAACCAATTCTCCTGTTTGCTATCACAAAGCTAAGAGAATCATTGGATACTTCGATACTTATGTGTTTTATACAGGCATTCTACTGCATTAGGCAGTACTTTCCTGTTCTATCAATTTTGTCCACAATGGGCCTTGTGATGAAAATTTCTTAGTGAAGTGCTCGAAACGCGAACATGTATGCGAGAAATTTGAGACACTTTGTCCAAAGAATCTGTAAGGATTCCTTAGAGATTCTTTGCTTTGTCTAAGAGTTCAATGGTCAGAGAAATCATGAAGTAAACCGCAGGTATTGAGCCATCTGCCGGTCAGGGTTTCTTGCAGAAGTTGTTGAGGTGTATTTTCAGAAAGAAATCACTTCGAGGCGGAGCCAGAAACGAACGGGAGCCAAATCAGGAGTAGGAGGGCGGAGTTAGAATAAGTTGCTATATTAGACGTCTTTTTTAAAACTATTATCAACGTAAAGAACACCCTGCCTTATTAATAAAGAATCAAATAACGGCCATGAGTCTATTACTGTCTCAGTGAATCTACCACTCTATGGCATAGTTTATGTTATAGCACTTTACAACCCTCCACAAAATATACTGGACAAGCAAATTCTTAAAAAACTTCTTCCCGAAGACAAGAAAGTTATCCTAGAAGACGATTTAAATTCTAAAAATGTTGAATGGGGCTGTCCTAAGACCAATAATAATGGAGAAAAACTATACGACTTCATTAATAATAATCACGTCTATTTCTACGCACCCACCTCCTATACATATCTTCCAAACAACCCATGTAGAGGAGATATCCTAGACATATTTCTGACCACGACCTCCATCTTTATGTATCTGGAGACTAAAATTGACTTAAGTTCTGACCATATTCCTGTAATCGCCACCTTAGGCACAAACAAAAGTAGTGATAAGAAGACTAAGAAAAGCACGAATTGGACTATGTTTTCAAAGAAATCATCACTAAACATTCCCCTATTATTACTTGTCTCAAAACGAAGAATGACATACATAACGCAACTGACAATTTTACCAAATGCATCCAAAAGGCTTTTAAACACTGCCACTAAAGAGATCTTTTGGAATTACGACTCAGAGAAACTCCTCATTCCTCAAGCGTATTCGGGACAAAATTTAAAAAGCGAAATAATTTACGTAAGAGATATAATGTTTCATGGGATTCTAGAATTAAAAAGAAACTAAACAGACTTAATAAAGAAATTAAAAATGATATCAGTATATACAGGACGGAAAAATGGAACGAGAAGATCAGCAGTTTCAACTAACCCAACCAAGAACCTCTTATTGGCAACAATAAAATTGCTTTTACAAATAAAGACAAAGCAGATATTATGGCGTTATATCTTGAACAGTATTTTACGCCTAATCTCGACCCTTGCGATCATAATTTCGTCACTGAGACCAACAAATTTGTTCATGAATGGCTAACTAGCATAAATATTAAAAATAATACTGATTACACCTCTGCTAAAGAGATCTCAGAAATTATGAGAAGACTGAAAAATAGGAAAGCACCTGGCTTTGATCAGATTACCAACATTGCAATCAAAAACCTCCCACTGAGTATCATCTCGAAACTCACTAGCATTTTTAATGCTTGCCTTGCCAATAATTATTTTCTTAGAAAATGGAAGACAGCCAAAATTATCTTACTGCCCAAACCGGGCAAGGATATTACTAAACCGGATGGGTTTAGACCCATCAGTTTACTTCCTGGCTTTAGCAAAATTTTTGAGAGGATTATTTTAAAATAGGTGTAAGAAGATAGGCCACACCTTCTTTTCTTCTGCAGCAGGAAGAAAAACATAACTAAACTAAAAATATTGGAGAAAACTGAATGATTTCATTGAAAACTGTTTGAGGCTTGAGGATATATATTCTTTCAAGCTTCATAAAAATGAATTGTACAGTTGGGGAAAAACTGCAAATATTCCAAAAAAATGCCTCTTTAGGTTACGGTGTAAAGGAAGCAAAAATGCCAAATTTGTTTAAAAATTGATATTTTATCTTTTGTTGTTATTTCTGGTCATTTTAATCGGGGAAGGTGAAACTTATATACTGAAGCACTGATGTAGAAAGCATAATATAACGTTAAGCCATAATTATTCTTCAAAGGCTCTGTACCTTGCAAAAGAGAACGAAAGGGATGGTATTTAGAGGAGCAAGGGGTGGAGCTACACGATCAACAACATATACTTTATTTCATGCTGTTACATGGATATTTAAAAAAAAAAAAAAAAAACTGTAAAGAACAAAAAAAACTAGAAATTTTACCGAAAAAACAATATTTGCCATAGTATTATCTTAAAGAAAAAATTTAACCAAATAAATATTTATTAGGTGGTAAATTCTTTTTAGCGGTAATTTAGTCCCTTTTAGAAATAGGGCGGTAAACCCCACCAGTAGGTGTGACAAGCACGCTTATCAACAAACATCTGTATTGTGCTGCCATCTAGAGGTGCATTATGAGTAAAATATTAAAAATATGATTTGAAATGAAATTGTTCTTTAAGTAATACTGACCAGAAAGAGGCGAGGTATGGTTATGCTTTCCTGAGGGCAGGAATAGAGCTTTCTCTAAAGAATTGCGAAAGTGTCTCTAAAGAACCTTCTGAAAGAACCTTCTGAATATATTTCGAATTTTTTTCATTAAGCTGGTTTTAGTTTAAAGCTTCGTTTTCTTCTTCGCCATTGTTTTGAATATTATAACTTATTTAATCGTAATAAATGAATAATTGAAGAAGATTTAGGAAACACAAACGTACCATTGACAGCTACTGAGCCTTACAAAATGAATTTTATATATTTGGACATTAAATTTTTATCCTTTGGACATGGAATCAAACTCATATATGTGGCTTTGATACTTTACGGGAGAACACTTAAATCGTAGTATTTACATTTGGAAAGTTGATTATTAAAGGAAGAGACAGAATATGAGTGAATAACTGTTGAGCATAGAATAAATAAAACTAAAGAATATTTTAAACATATTAAGTCGATAAAGACACAAAATAAAAATTCGTCCACCGCTTTTTTAATAAGTCATTTTAAAAATCAAATATAAGCTCAGTTTGTAGTCCGTGAAGTGTGTTATATGAAAGGAGAGAAGGTTAGCACTCCCCTTGACAAGGACGGAATGGCCTCTGGGCCTAAACACATATAAGGTTAAGGCACTGCCGCCTACTCCGCGGCAACTTAACCATGTTTTTCTTATCTCCAATGTAGCTAAGGTATCGCCATATTGCGTTAATTTCTGATGGAGTAATGTCAATGCAATTACCCCTTTACTGTTTGGCATTGCCTTTTGATACGTAATCTTACACAATGCTTTTCATTTTCCCTAAACATTAAGATTTGTTTGTTGAAGTTAAGATTTGTTTTTAAATTTAAAATAATAACTTAATTTGAAGAAATTTAAAAAGAAATAAAGGTTTCAGATTTTAAATTACGTCCAAAGGAGCGCTTTTTTTTAAAGTTTTGTGTGTTACCTTTATTTATTAAATATCATGTTCTCCGCACTTAAACCATAAAATTCAGTTCAACAGCAATATCGCAAAATAATTTTAAAATGAGCATATCTTTAGAATTTCCGGAACGCAGTTCCGCCGGCTGGAGATAAAAAGTTCTCCCCCTGTAGAGTGTTGCCATTGCTCGCTTTTAAATTGAGCGCTTTGTTAATCAAAAATTCGTTAAAATTTTACAAAATAATGAAATAGATAATAAAACAAATTCCAAATTGCAAATTTGGGCTTCCAGATGCCCATATTCAGGTGGAAACGTATGTTAATCAAAATTGGATGGCTCTACTGTCTGTCTGGAAGGTCCCGCCACAGTCTCTGGCCGGTTGCGGTCACTATAGGAACAGGGCTAGTATATTTCAAATAGCGGCGAATCAAGAGTTGCTTTATTGTTATTTTTTTTTTGGCGACTGCTGGCTGAGGGAAAAAGAGTTTATTGTAAGTCTTCAAAACACCCCTACGGAAAATGGTTCAAGGCTCGTTTCTACGGCAACAGATAGCTGCAGACTAACTGGTGAGAGCTTTTCTTATGATAGACAGACTGTAGACACCGTTGTTTTATCACTGCGAAAAACATACATACATTTATGCAGATTCTTCATTATTTAATTTCTTTAAATATAATACAGGGCGATAATATTTGGTGGCAACAATTTGAAAAGTGAATAGAACATTTATAGTGAACCAGCGCAAAATGCTAAAACGAAAATAATAGTCCTTCAGAGCAAATTGTTCCTTTGGACTATCTTATTTTCAAGCTTATAAATATCTTATAAAACATTATTTGGATTTTCATTGTATGTCGAGTATATTTTTAGCTTGAAAAGTTTTTTTTTTGTTTTTTTTTTTTTTTTTTTTTTTTTTTTTTTTTTATACTTTTTGTTCTCATACTACTTATAATTAATATCATTACTTATAATTAAATATTTATGTGCGTTAATTATCATTAACGCACTTAAATATTTATGATACTAATTTCCATACTGATAAATTATATTTTAACACCATAAATATAATAGGAGTAACAGTTTAAGAAATTATGGTTTCGCCGTTATTATCTTTTATTTACAATTCCTGATTTTACCAAACTGGAAGGCTTCGCAGTACTTATAAACAAACATATCCATCAATCTCTTGAGCTAACCAGTGTGTTCTCTGCACTGGTGTCTCAGGGTACCTAGACAGTTACTTGAAAAGGCCTCCGTTCCAGTGGCGTAGCGAGGGGGGGGCAAGGGCCCGGGCGCTGCTCGTAGAGGGGCGCCAAATGGTCTCCAAACAAGATTTTCCGGAAAATTTCAGTTTTCATTTAGATCGATTTCTGGAAAATATATTTAAAATTAATAACTATTGTAATATAATTAATTATTTATTTTCTTGATTTGTCTGATAAAAATGTGTAATAAAATGTTTGCAGTACACATCAACCAAAACGTTTTCTCCCTGACCACTTTATTTCTCCAAAGTAGAGATATATTTTTATTTTTTTAAACGAAATGCACGTATATCCTCCCGCTTTCTTATTTTAAAACGATAACACGACCTTGTCCCGAATTTCTCAAACATATCCAGTTTCCAAAATCCGATTCCATAATCTGGAAATAACATTTTGGGAAAATGCTAACGCTTCCGCTACAATGGATTGCGTTTGACTTTCCTGTAAACGACTGATGGCCTTCCTGGCTACCCATTCAACTAAGTCATCTTGCTGAGACATCGTATATTCACTACTACGAAGCATTCATCGCATGTCAATTGTTTTTAATCTCTTATTACAAAAGGAATACTGCAGGTCGCTCCTTACTCCTTATCTAAAACGCATAGTTTTCGACGTCACAGACAAAATTTGCATATTCCCATCTTTATAAACGTTATAATTTTCCTTTATAATCTCTTCTATTTCCTTTTGTTCAAAAAGGTTGTCGATTATATGGTTATTTCATACCGAACCCACAATATCCCTTAATTGTTTTGAGCAGTGAATGTGACTGCATGGACGTTACTCCGCAGTAGAAAAGAAACGGAACCTAAAACTTCACTACAGATCTACAGAGAAAATGTTTTTCCAAACCTAAGAGTCGCACTTCAAATACTACTTACTATTTCATTATCAAATGCTAACTATGAACGCTCGTTCAGCAAATTAAAATAAATTTTCACATATTTACAATCAACGATGAGACAAGATCCCCTAAGTCATCTAGCATTTTTTAGTGTGGAAAGAGAAAAAATTGAAAGGGTCGACTTTGATGAAGTAAATAATAAATTTGCTTTATCCAAGATAAGAAAAATGTATACAAAGTAATTAATTGTATTCATGTATTATATTATTATTAATAAATATACTTGCCCGACCAAGTCGAGGTGCACGTGATTGAAGCGAGATGAGGGCAAATTAAAATTTTTAAGTTGGCTGGTGGTGTGTCTGAAAAATTTTAGATCTTTGGCACTCCAAGCACGAACGTTCCAGTTGGCTATGTCCTTCTGCATGCTAGGCCATACGAAACGTTGCTGTATCAGTTTTTCTCGAAGCCTTGATGCCAGGATGTGACAGACGATGTAATTGACTAAAAATGGCATGGCGAAATCCGGAGAGAACATAAGGTCGAAATCTTGAATTCTGAACATTACAATAAAGTGATTTTCCAGATGACAGCTGCATAGGCTGCAAGTTGAGATTGGTGGAAGATTTGCTTTTCAAGAAGGTTTGTAGTTCTGAATCCCGGTGTTGTTCATCCGCAAGGGCAGCAAACTTTATTGGCGAAGGAACGGCTAGTTCATCAACACGAGACAAGGTGTCTGCAACAATATTCTGCGAACCCTCAATATAACGGATAGCTGTCGAAAACTGCCCTATGAAGTCTAGGTGTCTCATTTGACGAGGAGAAGTTTTATCCTGTTGAAAAGCATAAGTTAAGGGTTTGTGATCTGTGAAGATCATGAAAACGCGTCCCTCTAGCATATGTCGAAAATATTTGACAGCTTCATAAATTCCTAATAATTCGCGATCGTAAGTGCTGCATCTGGGTTTGTGCTGGTGAGAGGTTTTTAGAAAAAATATAAGTCTCCATAATTCTTGATCTTTCTATTGTAAAACTGCTCCTATACCTGTTGTTGATGCGTCAACGTGTAGAGACATTAGGTTATTTTTTGGAAGCAGAAGAGATGAAAAATATGCAACGCCTTCGCCGGGAATCGAACCGCAGACCTCTGGAGTACCGGCCCAGCGTTCAGAACCACTACAACACGAACACAGGCTACGAAAGCGGGAGAAAAATCTTATACACTCCCCTTTTTAAAGGGCGACTGGGGTTTTTAGGGGACCCAATCGCCAAATCCTGGGTGTGGAGAATCCTCATCCAACACCCCTTTTAGTTCGGGCGCCACTGTAGAGACATTAGGATTTTTGGAAGCAAGAGAGATTGAAAAATTAGCAACCGCCTTCGCCGGGAATCGAACTGCGTACCTCTGGCGTACCGGCCCAGCGTGCAGAACCACTACACCACGAAGGCACGCTAGGAAAGCGGGAGAAATACCTTATAAACGTAGAGTGATAATTGTTTAGATGCGGAAGGATACTGCAAATTTGTTGCCGAAATTAAATAATTTTTACATTTTTGGAACGCTTCACGAGATTCTGTGGTCCAGGTTATAACACGTTTATCGTTTTTCTTGCTTCCAACCAAAAAAGAATTTAGAAGTGCTTGTATGGTTTGCTGCATGAGGTCAGAAACGTCGATAAAAATTGAGCATAGCAAGAAATCTTTAAATCCTTCACTGTAGATGTTTCGGGCATATTGCGGATAGCGGTAACTCTGGAAGCGGTCGAACGCCATCAGCGGAAATTTCATGACCAAGAAAGGATACTCTTGGTTGGCCAAAAACGCATTTGGAAGGATTAAGACTGTATAATAATATTTTGTGCATTTCCAAAATCAGATAATGGTGGTTCAGTGAGTTCACTAATTTTAACACTTTTACATTTTTAACAATATTTTAATTACTATATACAGAGCGTATTCTTAGGCCGCCGCCTTCGACATGAACAAACTTTATTCTCTTACAACTAAGCGAGCAACAGCGCCCTCTAGCCTTTTTCTTCAAATTACACAACACTCCCCACCTGAACTCGGTGGAGAGTTCATCTTTCAATAATATATTCTAGAATATTCAATTAATATTTCGACAATAAATCCTGGAGAAATGGTTAAATATAACAAACATGCATACATAATTATAAGCACATAAAATTTTACAAAACATTAAATGATACCTATCAGCAAGGTCAGGAGAATCAAACCTAAAAATACAAAATACAAACATTAGTTAAGTTCCATATTATATAACAATTGTATAGGCCTTTTTAAGGTACCAGTAGGTGTTTTAATTATGCAAGATCTTATTTTACCATCTCTGCCTGGCATTAATTCCAAAATTTTACCTATTGTCCAGAGATTTCTGGGATGTTTGTCGTCATGAATCAAGACAATATCGTTGATTTTAAACTGAGATGCGTTAGAGTGTGGAGGACAAATATTGGCAGATCTCAGATTAAAAAGATACTCTGATCTCCAACGCTTCCAAAAATGATTTAAAATATCTTGATGGTATTTATATCGTTTAATAATTGAATTTCTTGATCCAATCAAATTATTTGATGTTATTTTATTAGCAGGCAGAGATAGCAATCGTCTAC